AATGACTGTGTGTTTACCCTTTTAACAGTACACTTACATAAGAACATTAGAACGGCCATACTGGGTCAGACCAAAGATCCATCCAGCCCAGTATCCTGTCTTCTGACTGTGGCCAATGCCAGGTGCCCCAGAGGGAATGAACAGAACAGGTAATCATCAAGTGATCCATCCCCTGTTGCCCATTCCCAGCTTCTGGCAAACAGAGCCTAGGGACACCATCCCTGCCCATCCTGGCTAATAGCCATTGATGGACCTATCCTCTATGAATTTATCTAGTTCTTTTTTGAACCCTGTTATAGTCTTGGCCTTCACAACATCCTCCGGCAAGGAGTTCCACAGGTTGACTGTGCAGTGTGAAAAAAAATATTTCCTTTTGTTTGTTTTAAACCTGCTGCCTATTAATTTCATTTGGTGCCCCCCTAGTTCTTGTGTTATTTACTCCTTCTCATAACACTTCCTTATTTACTGTCTCCACACCAGTCGTGATTTTATAATCCTCTATCATACCCTCCCCCCCCGTAGTCTCTTTTCCAAGCTGAAAAGTTCCAGTCTCCTCATACGGAAGCCATTCCATACCCCTAATCATTTTTGGTGCCCTTTTCTGAACCTTTAACAATAGCAATATATCTTTTTTGAGATGGGGTGACCACATCTGCACGTAGTATTCAAGGTGTGGGTACACCATGGATTTATATAGAGGCAATATGATATTTTCTGCCTATTATCTATCCCTTTCTTAATGATTCCTAACATTTTGTTTGCTTTTTTGACTGCCGCTGCACATTGAGTGGATGTTTTCAGAGAACTATCCACAGTGACTCCCAGATCTCTTTCTTGAGTGGTAACAGCTAACACTTGCACCATTTAATTCCAACTCAGGCAAGTAAAGATAACATAACAGATAATTATTCTTCCCAAACAATGAAGTAAACATTGATAGTGTGCCATTAACCCCAATTTCCTAACCCGAGAGTGTGAAATGACCTCTTTCTCTCTCTCTTTCAGCAACAGTGCATTCAACATGGCACAGTTATTTCTATTTTTCCTCAGTGTTTTTGCCCAGAGTTCATTTTATAGATATTTCATGGTTGCCTGAAAGCTGTAAACCAAGCTATTATAAACAGGTTTCAGATATTAACTACATTGTCTGCCTGACATACCCCAAGCCACATACTACTTAGGCCAAAATGACTTAACGTAAGATGATTAATCGGTCCTGACTGAACAGTGAAATAAAAACTAAATGTCAGATAGCCTATAACAAACAACCTCAATCCCCAAGTGCTCCTGAAAATACTTTACCTCTGCCTCTATAGTCCCATCCAAGTATTTACAGACCTCATTCCCCTAACGTAGGCCAGGCCTCCTCAGCAGCACTGTGAGACAATGCCTCTAAAAATATTTCTGGGTGGGATTTGCAACCAACATGGATAAGGTGTGCCAAAAAAAAGAGCAGAAAGAAAAGATCCAGAACCATATGTGGCATGTATGTTTGCATGACCTCTACGTTTCTCCACCTAAAAACCCCCTGTATTATCCTTTGAACTCTCTCATATATGACGAAAGTGCCTGCAATGATACATTTGAGTGTGTGATTTTAGCATTTCTGAAAGATGGGAGTCTGAAGTATTATCCAGAATGATTATGCCATCGGTAGCACAGGGCAAGCTTCCCCACATCCTTCTCTCAATATGCCTGAACCCTGATGCTGAGCAACAAACTCTACTTCAGTCGCCAGACCCCATTCAGTCCTTGACTTATCCAATGAAGCTGCAGACATGTGCACCTTGGTAATGCTCTACCTCCCCCGCCCCCAATGATAATGTGGGCAGAGGGAAATAGACTGAGCCCACCAAAATAATTTCACACAGGCCAAACAGCCATCAGATGGTAGTGACTGAAAGTGGTTACTAACATTTTATAATTGTAAGATGCTTCAGAGAGCATGCTTCTATATAATGATGATATACCTGTGTGACTGAGGTCACTGGACCTTCAAATTCTCAGCTAGCAACTGAGCCAGGCTGTTAAATAATAAAAATACATAGTTTTTATATAGGGCTTTTCATCAGTAGATCTCAAAGAGCTTCACAATCTTTAATGCATTTCCGTACCTCACACAGGCGTTCTGAGGAACAGTATTATCCCCATTTTACAGATGGGGAACTGAGGCAGAGAGAGGCTAAGGGCACATCTCCAGTGCAATAAAAAACACACAGTACAGCCGTGGCTAGCCCAGGTCAGGTGGCTCAGGCTTGCAGAATATAAAATTGCAATGTAGGTGTTCAGGCTCAGGCTGAGGCTCAGGCTCTGAGACTTCATAAGGGGTCAGAGCCCAGGCCCAAACATCTACACTGCAATTTTATAGCCCTGCAACCTGAGCCCTGCAAGCCCAACTCAGCTGACCTGGGCTCTGAGACCCTGTGCCACAAGTTTTTTATTGCAGTGTAGATGTACTCTAAGGCAGCATTTCTCAAATGCGGCCACCATGGCCACATGCAGCCACCAGTGGATTTATTTCCAGCCACAACAGCCTCCAAAGCATGGGCAGAGATTGGAGGGGCATATGGGGGTGCCCCCCCCCCAAGTTGTGTATGTTGTTGGAGAGGGCACAATTTAAAGGTTCAGCCACCCCTCAAATAGCTTGAGTCACGGCCCTCCTTACCCTCAGTCTCCCTTTGCGGACAGCAGCGGCCCCTCCCTGCAGTGCCCAGCTGTTGTTCCTGAATACTTGTTACCAAGGACAGCCAGATGTGCCGCCTTGATGTTTGCGCTGGAGCCGCCACCAGGGATCGGCGCCCTGCACTGCGCAGCCTCCTTGGATGCTCTGGGCAGCGCCTCTGGAGAGACATGGGACCAGTGTGCACAACACCTGAGGCAGCTCTTGTCAGTGAAGGTAGCTGTAGCGTTCAGTTGCTGGTGCGCTCCCCTGGGCAGCTCCCCCACAGCCAGGGCACAGGGAGCCTGGGACTCCACAAGCAGCCAGTGAGTTCCAGATCCACCTTCCCTGGGGCGGGCTCTCACTGAAGGGCCGTAGGAGGGACAGAGAGACGGGTCGGTGCCTTGGATGTGTATATGTGCGTATTTGCTTGTTTTTCCAACCGCTAATTGAGTATTTTAGGGGAAATTGTCAGAGTAAGAGTTGGTGGCCGCACTCTGGGTCCATCAAAAAAATTTGTTGTGAAAACCCCTGCTCTAAGTGACCGACCCAACGAAGCCTTGTTCCCTCATCTTCAGAAAACTGCCTGAAGTTACTCTGCACAAGCCTACTTATCATCAACTTTTGATTCCTTGCTTCAATACCTCAGAGTTATTTACCAGAAGTGGGGACATTCCGCTGCAGCAGTCTTGGGGTTAAATAGTAATTAATTAATTGGACTTGTAGCCAAAAGAGAACCAACTAAAAGGTCACTTCACTCTACCACTTTTGGAACGTGACCCCTTTGCAGAAGGGGCCTCAAACAAAAAGACCACATATACACACATTAAATTAACTCCTCGCTTTTCTTATTTGTTTAATTTAATTTTGCCTAGTGCTACAATGGAACAGATTACAAAACAAATACACCTCTACCCCGATATAATGCGACCCGATATAACACGAATTCGGATATAACACGGTAAAGCAGCGCTCCGGGAGGGGGGGGGGGCGCGCAGCTGCATGCTCCGGCAGATCAAAGCAAGTTCGATATAACGTGGTTTCACCTATAACGTGGTAAGATTTTTTGGCTCCTGAGGACAGCGTTATATCGGGGTAGAGGTGTATGTAAAAAGTTTTATCAACTCTGAGCTACACCACAGTAAAACATTTTCTTTCAAAATAGTTTTAAATATTTAAAGTTAATAGCTTCTAGTTCAAAAATGTAATTAGAATGGTTCACAGTTACTTCAGTATTTGTGGTCTGAAAAAATACAGGTGCTGCCCCGATCATGATTCCAACATTTGTTGATAGTTCAGTCTTCAGACTCTCTTATCAGTTTTAATGTAGTCTCTTATCTCTGATAAGATAAAAGTGAAGTCACCCATAATTTAAGATGATTGTGAAAAGAGACTATTGTAGTTTTCATGAAGACAAAGCCAACCACATAAATCACAGTCATACTAAAAATACTGTATTTGAGGAGCTGCATAACAGACTTCAGCCACATCACCATGCAGATTCATATTTTAGCCATCTGCAACAAGTTACAATCACCATGGTGTAAGGCATCATTTGGCAACTACAAAGACACAAAAAGCCAAATGGTAAAAACAAAATGCATTTTTAACAGGTATGCTTGATAGAAAAGCTCAACATGGACTCAGTTTACCTTCAATTTGTCACCTGAACCCACTATCTTGTGGAAACTTTATTTTTCCTTCTGTCTTATATAGCAAACATAATACTAGCTAGTGCAGGTATCTCTAGGAAAGCTAAAGCACAAATTTTATTTTGAGTGAAATGGTTTGGCCTTTAACTGACTCATTCTATTTCCTATTGGGGAAGCATCCACTTCACAACTGGCACCCTTAAAGCAACTACTGAAGCAGCTAGCTTTATGAGGTAAGGCTCCGCTGCCACGGACCCAGGCTCCCTGCAACCACAAGTCCAAATCCTAGCAGGAGGCAGTCAGGCATTTCCTTCACTCTTCCCAGGTTGGCACCAAGCACCAGGAAGTTTGCTGAACGTGGAGGTTTGGGGAAAGCTTTTGTATAAGGACTCAAGGTCCTCCTTGCTCCTCAAGGGCATTAATGGTGGTGGGGTGCACTACCCAGGTTAATGAAGTCGGGCTTCCCCGGTCTGGCTACCGCTCTTCACCCCAGAGCCTTGGATGTACTTGGGCAAGAGAATCACCCAGAGCCGCCTGGCCCGTTGGCAGGGCAGCAGAGGGGGTGACAGAGCGGTGCCCTGCGGCAGCTGCTGCCCACGTGCCCGAGACGGGGGGAGGTGCCCTCTGGCCCCAGCATGACATTGATGCTGGCGGAAGCCCCAGTCCCGGGGGCTCTGCGCGGCACTCACCCTTGGTCACTTTCTTGGCCTCCTTGTAGCGCGCCCACAGGTAGCTCTTCATGTCCGGGGTGGGCGCAGGGGGCGGCGGCTGCTGCTGCTGGGGGGCCACCGTGCAATGGGGACTCGCTCTGGAGACGCTGCAGCAGCAGAGCCCGGCAGCAGCGCGACCCGCACACCCCGCCCGCCCTGCGCCCAGCAGGGAACGCGCCGCCGCCGCCATGCCCGGTGCTGCCGCCCCCGAGCTGCGAGCGACTCCTCGGCTCTGCCGCCGGGACTCCCGGCAACCACCCTCTCGCCCCGCTGCAGCGGCCGGCTGAAGTCACTTCCTCGAGCCCCGCCCTTCCCCGCGCTGACTTTCCAGGGGGGCGGGATCCGCGGGCGAGAGACCCAGCCGCTGGGCTGACAGCTGCTGGTGCAGCCCAGCCCTAGGAGATGCACGTGTGGCACCGCCAGCGATTGGGGGGAGGTGGGACGGGCCAACGGCGGGGGAGGTAGGGAAGGCTGCTGCCGAAGAGGGCTCGGGTTACCATCCTCGCTTAGGTTTTGCACATGATCCACAAGTGGTTTGGCTTCAGCTCTCTCCAAGCCCTTAAGGAGAGTTGGGTAAAGGCACTCCCCGGGCAGCCCCATCCCGTGCAATGGGCCAGACTCCAGAGACAAGCAGGGGCGTTCCCAAAACTAGCAGAGCAAAGAGAGTGCTTTGCATAACCAGAAGCCAGGGATGTGTATCAACTCCTCCCTTACCCCCAATGCTGGGCACAGACGCTAGTAGTGGTAGATGTCCTCAAGCAGTGTTTCTCAACCTTGGGGTCATGACGATCTTAAACTGAAGCTCCAAGCCCCAGAGGGTTGTGGAAGCCCGGAGTTAAGGTAGAGGTTTACAATTTTTTTTCTAGTGGTGGGGGGAGCGGTCGCGGGGTCACCAGCACAAAAAGGTTGAGAAACACCATCCTAAGGTGTCAGGCCTGCACCTATTTTTCTCCAGGTCAGGCACAGACCACCCCACCTGCCTTTGGTTACCTGAATCTGGAAGCCCAGACACAAAAACCCAACTGCACACAGTGGAGTTCAGAGCCTGTTTCTATAAAAGAATGTATGCAGTGTAGTTGTAGCTGTGTCAATCCCCGGATATTAGAGAGACAAGGTGGGTGAGATAATAGCTTTTATTGGACCAGCTTCTGTTGGTGAGAGAGACAAGCTTTTGAGCTACACAGAGCTCTTCTTCAGGACTTCAGGACTGGTGTGGCTCAAAAGCTTGTCTCTCTCACCAACAGAAGTTGGTCCAATAAAAGACACTACCTCACTCATCTTATCTCTCTCTATATAAGAATATTAGGGTAGGATATGGGTACAGACCAATGGGCTGAAAGGGGATGGGAGACTTAAGGGACTTCAACAGCTACAGTAAAACAGTAAAAATAACCCCAAATAATTCCTTCCCCCACCTTCAGAGGGGCTGTCATAACTATAAAGGGAAGGGTAACAGCTCTCTGTGTACAGAGAC